GTGTGAGAGGCTTTCGTCTAATGTGATGTCATTGCCCGGGGACCCGTTAAGTAGAACGCTGGTGGAGAGGGGCCGTCTCACGAGGCGGTACACAGCAGTGGCAAGGTCTTGTCGTGCCGCTGCGTGCAGTGGGCAGTGCAGGAGGAAATGTGTGACTGTCTCCGAGGTTGCACCACAGGCACATCCCCGGCCGGTAAGGTTAAACTTGGCCAGCGTGGAGTTAAGCTGGCACCAGCCGATGCGGAGTCTCGTGGCAAGTATGTACATGTATAATTCGTGATCTGTTTGACGGATTTCTTTCATTTTCGGCTTTTGGCTTGTAATCCAAGTCCCAAAGTAGCACGGTGACTTGGGGCATTTTAGATGTACTTGCAGGTGGAGCAGTAAATTCACATGACACCCCCTACTTTCCACAGCTGTTGTCCACGGTAGGAGTTACGCCGGTGGTGTGAGTCAAGTCAAGTCAAAGTTTATTGCACAACTAATGTACGGATACATCGTATGGCAATTAGGGGTACTAAGTACAAATCTAAAATCTAAACTAATGCGTAAAAGAGTACTACATTCATGCTGTATATGAATCGAACTTAAGTTACATCGTACTAGTATACAAAAGGAATGGCAAACATTATACAGGGGTTCTGTAAATCTACAACTAAATACTACTCTGTCCTATACTTAAGTATTACTAGTATAATGGATATATATATATATATATATATATAGTTGATTCCATTGTTATGTGTAAGCAATCAGTTGACTGTTTCGGAAATGACATTGTTTCTTTTAACTAAGGCGTTAGAAATATATTGNTACATCAAGTCAAGTCAAGTCAAAGTTTATTGCACAACTAATGTACGGATACATCGTATGGCAATTGGGGGTACTAAGTACAAATCTAAAATCTAAACTAATGCGTAAAAGAGTACTACATTCATGCTGTATATGAATCGAACTTAAGTTACATCGTACTAGTATACAAAAGGAATGGCAAACATTATACAGGGGTTCTGTAAATCTACAACTAAATACTACTCTGTCCTATACTTAAGTATTACTAGTATAATGGATATATATATATATATATAGTTGATTCCATTGTTATGTGTAAGCAATCAGTTGACTGTTTCGGAAATGACATTGTTTCTTTTAACTAAGGCGTTAGAAATATATTGGCCTATATATGGTGAGATTGCATCGGGGCATGACATGATAAAAGTAAAGGTATCTGAGACTGTCTTAGGTAATGTAATACTTGTGTTGTTGGCGATAGAGTTCATAAGTGTTTGTCTTTCTTCATTGTAAGCTGGACATGTTAACATAAAATGCAATTCATCTTCTACAATATCTTTGCAAATAGGACAACATCTGTGGGTGGCTGGTACATTGTTATGGCGTCCCTTTTCTATTTCTAAACAGTGTGAACTAATTCGTATTTTGGTTATATTAGCGGCGAAAGATTTGTTTTGTATTAGTGAAAGATATTTCTCAAAAACGAAGTCAGATTTGACTTTGGAGTAGGTTTTCAGTTTGCTGTAATTTCTGATATTTTGCCTCCAGCCAGAAACAAACGTGTCTTTGAGCCGTTCTTTGAACACGTTTCCAAAATGTTTGGCGTTAACTACTGGGTTTAGCCAAACATTTTGGAAACCGTGTTTACATAACATGTCTTGCACATGAACGGCCCAGTCGTGTTCTTGTTCCACAGCAATATCGTAAGCTTTCTTAACTATTCTATCGTTAGGGAGGTTGTGTAGTCGGAGCCAGTATTTAATAAGGTGGGTTTGTGTATCAATGTATAATGGAAACGCTCCTAATTCTCCCCTTACGGCGGCATTGACGGAGCTTCTGGGAACACGGAGCAGTATTTTATAATAGTTTAAGAGAACATGTTCTAAATCTGGAACTTCGTATGAAACTGAGGGTTGTTCTATAAATATGTTTTGGCTTGCTATTTGGTTTGAATTTTGTATAATGTTTTGTTTATCACTGTATTTCTTAAGACGGACGAGTATAGGGCGGTTGGGTGGATGGTCAGTTTTCTTCCCCATACGGTTTGTCTTGAGGATATTTATTTGTGATCCTATTATCGGGTATAGAATATTAGATAATATATCACGTAAATTTTCATTTGGAGATTCTACTATTCCTTTAAAAACTAAGTCCCTAGATTGAATATTAGAGCCCAACACTTCCCCACAGTAGAGTAAGATTGGTTTAACCAGACTATTAAAGAGTTCTAGTGCAAGAGTGATAGACGGGTTGTGATTGGATGATAATAATGATTTGAGTTTGAAAGAGGCCCGGAGAGCTTTAGTTCTAAACTTTTTGTTGGCATGTTTGAAAGTTCCTGAGGGGGTTAAGTCGACTCCTAGATATGTGTAGGAGGATGTTATATCTATTGTGTGGCCCTGTGTTTGAAAAGGGGAGTTGGCGATTTTTACTAGCTTGTCCATTTTTTGAGAAAATCATAACTTTAGTTTTATCCCTATTAATTGTCAGTTTCCAAGTTGAACAGAAGTTGTCCAATCTTTTTAAGCATTCCTTGAGGCCTTTTTCTGACTTGGATATGAGTACTAAATCATCGGCCCAGAAAAGGCTGTTAATATAAATATCTTTTAGCATGACAGGATCACATAAAGGTGAATTTAGTAATGTTGGGAAGTCATTTAAGTATAGATTAAACAGGAGCGGGCTTAAAATTGCACCCCTGGCGGACTCCGCAGGTTGACTTGAAGTATGCTGATAAAACCGTTTGAAGTTTTAACACAATATTCTATATTAGAGTACATTGTCTGAATAAGTCTGAAGAAGTTCCCCCCTACCCCTCGATGATAATAAATTTGTAAAATAAACCCGTTTCGCCACACTGAATCAAACGCTTTCTTGAAATCCACGAAACAGGCGTATAATTTACCGCCCGGTGTAGAAATTTGTTGGTCGATGATAGTTTTAAGCACGAAGACATTGTCACTTGTGCGGAAATTCTTTCGAAAACCGGATTGGAATGCAGACAATATATTGTTATCTTCAAGAAAGCGTTGGAGTCGTTTGTTTAGTATAAATGTAAATAGTTTTCCAACACAACTAGATATAGCGATTCCTCTATAATTTGACGGG